GGAGCGGGGGCTGGGGGTGCCTGCGAGGGCTTGGAGGCGGAGAGCGGGCTGGGCTCGTGCATTCCCCCCTCCCCCACCCAAAACTCCTACCAATCAGGTCCTGGGGAGTCCGGCATCCTCCGACGCCCCCACGCAAACGCGCTGAGGACAAGCGGCGGGCCGGCAGGTGACCCGAGCCCGGGGGCCCGCTGAGTACGGCCCTCAGCCCGGGGCAGGGACCCGGGAGTCCAGGCCGAGCGGAGGGGACTAGGGCCAGGCTTGGGCCCCTGAGAAGTGCCGGGGTCCTTTGCGGGGCGCCGTGTGCAGACTCACTGCAGCGTGCAGGCCTTGGGGAGGGTGCTCAGAGGGCTGGGCCCAGCTTCTCTGGACAGTCCCCCTCCCAATCCCACCCTACGAGCCAGTTAGATTCTTAATAAACGCTTAGACCGCCAGGACCCCTGCCCAGGAACCAGGAGGGGCCCGGGAAGAAGGGTCACCTCCGAGGCCAGGACAGAGACAGCTTAGGCCTGGTTAGTGCTAGGAAGCTGGCCCGGCCCAGGAACCTCTGCACCCCATCCCTAACCAGTGCTGTGCCCGCCTTCCTTTTCTGTGCTGCTCCCCAGATAGGACTAGTTTTTGGCCAGGGAGCGTGGTGTCCAGGAGGATCTGCAGATGAGCACATCAGCCCTAGAAGGCTTTCAGTTGCCACGCACAGTGAGAGAGAGGCCAGGACGCTTCCAGGCCCCCTTGCCCTCTTACTGCTCCTCCAAGACTCCTCCTCCTCACCTGCTGGTGCTCCTTATGTAATGAGCCCAGCTAAAGCTTGCCAGTGTGTGAGCACTGGCCAAGGGTGCCTTGGGGTCAGGGGCTCTGGAGAAATGGAGAGAGAGGGAAAGAGACATTGGGACTTCTCAGTATTTGCTAACCCGTACCAGGGCGAGCACCTGTTGGGGAGAGAACACAGCATGGGGCTGGAAGCAGGTCAGGGCTGACAATTCACCTGGCTATGTGTTGTTCTTCACCTTCCTACCTCTCTGGGGAGAAGTACATAAAGTGGGGAGGAGAAACACACACACACACACACACACACACACACAACCACCTTACCCAACCCTGTGCAGGAACTCCATCACGCAGCCAGGAGTGCTCCCTCGTCCCGGGAAGCTAGGAAGCCCACTGAGATGAGGGGAAACCTGAGATGAGGGAAGGCCACGCAGGTTACAATACTGGTTTTGGTGTCCAGTGGATTCTGACTCCCAGCTACCCTGGAAGACTGAGTAGACCAGCCCTTGGGGGTTCCAAGGCAGGGATCTTGATGGAAACTGATGGCCACATCTTTCCGTTTCAGGAGCCGCTGGTGGGTTTGCACCGCGGACCTTTTGATGAGCAGCCAAATGCTTAACCACGGTGCCACCCGGGCTTTCTGGAGTAACAGTAATCAAAGCTCACTGCCAGGGAATCAGTACCTGATTCCGGTAGAACTGCCCCTGTGAGTTTTCACAGGATAGAGAGCTAAAGCCCTGTTTTTCTCCCAAGGAGAAGAATGTGGACCTTGCTGTTAGCATCCCAGTGAGTCGCTATGCCCTCAGGGCACCTATTCTGTGCCAGGCAGCAGGCTTTACCTCCCCAGCCCCCTGATCACCCTGTGGAGTGCCTTGCTCCAGGTGAGTTGAAGAGCCTGGTGATTCTGGCTCCAAACTCTACCCTTTTTTTTTTAACCAAAACATTTTATTGTGAATTATGGCAAGGTTTACAGAACCTAGCAGGGCATAGTTTTACATTTAAAAACATTCAGACACATTCTGCTACAACTCAACCATTGCAGTCTCCTCAGTGTACAATTGCTTTTCTCACTTCCTTGCTGTGTTTCCTGTTTCCATTTCTCCTTTTTACCTTAGCCCTCTCGACTTGGTCCTTGGCTAAACTCTACCTTTTGTGCGTATTGTTTATGCTGTATGTGCAGGTGCCCAGAGGATTGGGTCCCGAGCCAGGACAGACATGGGCCAGGCTCATTCCGCTCCATCCCCCAAAGCAGGAGAAGGCACCAATCACCTGACACTTGTACAGAGCAAGCTTCAGCGTGGTTGGGTGGCTTGCCCACTGGTCCCCGGGGTAGAAATGTCTGAGTTGAGATTTACACCCAAGCTCTAGGGTCACTGGAATGAACATTAACTTTTTAGCTAATGAGTTCACATCCAGGTCCCTCCCCTCTCCCCCAGTATCCCTATCCTGAGCACCTGCTATGAGCCAGTCCTTGTGGGCAGGCCAGAGAGGCAGACACAGCCCTTGGCCCAAAGGCATTCACCAGTAACATGACTAAACTTTAAAGCACTGTGACATGGTAGAAAGGAGTAGCTGCCACCCCCAGCTGTGTGACTTCGGGCACATTTCTTACTCCCTCTCCCCGTAGGGGAGCAATAATTCCGTTCCCTTAGGGATGGTGTGTTGACTAAGGATGATGTGGGCATGGTAACGTAGAGTAAGCGCTCAGCACATGTTGTGTTTCAGAGCCTAAGCAGCCGCCTAAATCCATCAATTCTCAACTTGAGAGGGCGTTTGGAAAGGTGGGGGAGCCTTTCTTGTGATTACGGTGACTGGCGGTTGCCTCTGGCAGTTGCTTCCTGAAGTGTCAGATGTCCTGTTGTGGGTGAATGGTCCTGTATAATCAAGAATCGCTGCCCCCACAAAATGCCAGCACTGTCCCCAGGGAGACACTGTGGTCTAGTCTTAGCCCTCCCGGGCAATGAAGATGGTGTCTTGAGGGGAAATAGGCTGGGAAAATGGGGCTTCACCCCCAAGGCCACCAGCTGACTATGGATGAAGAGGCAGATGAGTCAGATTGGATGGGAAGTCAGGCTTTAATGCAAATCAAGGAATATTGACCTCAGGGGCAGGCTAGTCCTGTCATTAAAAAATGGAGGCTGTGGTGTGAAAAGGTTTGGGAGGGATATGGAGAAGGAGGCGCTCTGGGAACCGGAGTGCCCTCCTGATAAAGCAACCGTCTGTCAGTCCCAGAGACCGGGAAGTATAGGCTCTATGGAGGAGTAATTCAGCCCACTAAGCCCACCTCTTGTCCCCACAGAGCAGGCAGGGGCCACAGAGGGCCCGGGGCAAACAGAAGCGGCAATGGTTGGTCCCGAAGGTGGCTGAGCCCCCAGCCGCTGGAATATGCAGCCCGGGGAGGCCCCAGGCAGCTGCGAGGACGCGGCGGCGGAGTGGGGCGGGAGGCATGGTCTCCACCTACCGGGTGGCCGTGCTGGGGGCGCGAGGCGTGGGCAAGAGTGCCATCGTGCGCCAGTTTCTGTACAACGAGTTCAGCGAGGTCTGCGTGCCCACCACCGCCCGCCGCCTCTACCTGCCTGCTGTCGTCATGAACGGCCACGTGCACGACCTCCAGATCCTCGACTTCCCGCCCATCAGCGCCTTCCCTGTCAACACGCTGCAGGTAGGCCAGGCTGGGGCTGCAGAGACGGCTCTGGCTGCCTCTGACAGCCCCTGGGCCATGCCCAGAATCCCATTCATTCAGCAACAGATAGCTGGTGAGCAATTAGCATACGCCCCGGCCAGGCCCTGTGGTAGGCACTGGGTGGGGCTGTAGGTTGGCGAACAGGACAGATGCGGGACTTGCTCTCAAGGAAACCACAGGCTGATGAGAAGAGACAAGCAGGCCGTTACATAGCCGGAGCAGTACCATCGCTGGTGGACAGGTAGCTCCTGAGCAGCCATCTAACCCACCCAGCCCTGTTGGGGAGAGGGTGAAGACTTCTTGAAGAAGTTGTTGCCCCAGGTGAAGAACAGAGCAGGGGAGAGTAGCTGGCTGCCTGCTACCCTGGGCTCTGCCGTGCAAAGGCTCGATGATGCTCGCACCACAGTCCAACGCCAGGACTTGAGGGAAATGTGTGCTGGGGTCTCGTGAGTGATGTTTTGCTGTCCATCCTTGGGGCCTGCCTCCCGGGCACCCTTCCTGCAGCAGTGGGTCTCCGGGGTATCAGCTGGGGTGGGGGCCCCCTTCCTATCTCTGCCTCTGGCTTCAGTGGAGCTGCGGTGCTGGGCAGCCCCACTCTACACAACATGTTTGCTCACAGGAGGAGGGCTTGGACCAGAGGGTGAAGAATGTTGTGGGGGTGAGGGCTGTGCAGGGAGGAGTGGAAACTGAGGCACTGGGGCAAGACTGGGTCAGTTGTAACTGAGCAAATGCAACCCTCACTTGGGCTGAGCCAGGGCCTGGGAGGTGCTCTGTGCTCAGCACGCCCTCAGTAGCACCGGGCAGCCGGACCCAGCACCTAGATGAAAGCCTGATTCGAGTGTGCAGACCTCGAGAGCAGAAAGTGTGTCCAGCAGGGCAGCAGGGCTGGCCAGGGTCTTCTGGCTGCTCCAAGTGGCCCCCACTGAATTGCACTATTTCACGTTTCCTCCTGTCTTTATGCAATTGTATTTTGACCTTTTGGTGACCTTGGTTGCAGCCACCACCCCCCATATCCCCCACCCCCGACCAACAGCACTCTTCTCACTTCTCACCATTTCCATGCGTCCTTCTTTTCTGCCCCGTTGTGTCTTCTGAGTTTTCTTGGGGGGAAACGCTGCCCTCCGGACTCCTCATGTGGCTGACTGTGCTGAGGAGCTTGTTCCTCACTGGTGTTCTTATTCACGCTCCAGTTGGGCTCAACGGTCCCTTGTCCTGCTCAAAGGTGATCCCCAGGGGTGGGTTTAGTTCAGGTTTGAAGGCCCATACCCTAAGTGTTCCACTGGTAAAGCTGATTAGTTTTTTTCAATATCTTAGAATTTCTTCCCCTCCCACTCTGTTCAGGGCTCTCTATTGTGATCCAGTCAGAGCAGACTTTCGTGAGTGCCGGGCACCATCTAGTTCTTTTGGCCTCAGAGTAGCAGAAGCTCCGGTATGCATGGCCCATTCATTCTTTGGACCGATTGTTTCCTGTGATCTTTGATTTCCCTCCCTCTTCTCTGCTCTGGGTAATTGCATCTTAGAGTATATTCATTTTAACATGTAATTTACACTTTGAAATAAGGTGAGACACAATATAAAACTCCAAAGAATGTAAAAGAGTACAGCCCACTCCCTTGCCCCCTTTGCCCTGATTCCTGCCCTGCTCTCTGTAGCCACCTTAATGGGTCTCTCCATTATATTCCCAGCTATCTCCACGCAAATATTTTAAAAAGGCACTCTTACTACCTCTGCTGACATTAATACATACGTATGCAGGCACCCACACTTCTGCCATCTTGCATCTTGCTTTTCCCATATAACATTATCACTTGAGCTATTTCCATGTCATGGTCCCGGTTCATTGCTCACAGCACATCATCTTCGGTTGAGAAGCTAGATGTCCCATGGAGTGCCCTCTTGTTTTACTGTGTCGAACAATGCCTCCATGAGTATTTTGTACCTGAGCCGTGCTGTACAGAGTGGGATCCATGAGCCTCTGAGGGATAGATTCCTGCAGGCAGAGGCACTGCCGGGTCAAAAGGTCAGTGGGGTCAGTTGGGGTTGGGAGCTCCCCTAGAGGTGCACGTTGTGCTTTCTCCAGAGGCCACTTCCCTGAAGCCTCACCAGCAGGGTGTGCTGTCAACCGCTGACAGATGCCATTCCGTGTTCTCCGTATAGTTGGGATGTGTCTCTCCTAGGATGAGTGAAGGCCGGCATCTTTCTGTATGTTTAAAGGTCTTTGCGTTTCTGTTTCTGAGAACTAATGGTGTCCTTTGCTTGTTTTTCCTATCAGATCATGGGCTTTCTTGGTTGGGCTCCAGGATGGCCAAGCCTTCCCCCAGGAACTCAGATAAGGGGCTCTGAGCAGAGAAACGCTGCGGAGGGACTCTGGAAGCCCCAGAGGCCAAATCTCAGCACCAGAGATCCAGAGGGCCACCATGAAAATGAAAGAAAAATACACTCTTCCCCAGTGCCAGATGAGATTCCTCCTGGGGGCGTGGGGGCCGGTGGTGTTTCCCAAGTCTGAGCCTCAGTGGTTCCTTCTCCAGCTCCCTTGCCCCCTAAGAGAGAGGGAAGCTGAGGTTAGGGGGCATTTACAGCCTTCTGAATATACAGCATCTTCAGCCAAGTTCTAGGTGAGACCCGGGTGCCCGAGCCTCCCTCGGCCCCCGGCTTCCCTACACCCCTGGCACGTTGTCCATCGCCCCATCTCTGTCTCGTCTCCACACAGCCCTATGATCATCACTTACAATTAGAACCCTGCACAGAGCAAGCTAGAAGGGAACCAGAGCTCTCTTGGTCCCCTCCCTTGAATTAAGAGGTGAAGGGACAATCTAACCAATCAGCTTTCTCTTCTCACTTTTAGGAGCCCCCAGAGAGGAGTGGGCAGGAAGCAGTCTTGAGGCCCTCCTTAAGGAGGCAGCATGTTGGGAGAGGTGGGGCTGTCACCTCCATAGGCTGGCAGCTGCTCCTTGGCAGTGAGTTTGCAAAGGCTGCTGCCTCCCTGAGTCTGGTGCCCCAGCACTCCCACTTGCCTCGCTTGGAGTGTCAGATGGGGGAGGAGCCCCAGACCCAGGCAGGCCTGTCTTCTGCGGGAGCCCAGCCCAGGAATGGTCTCCTATGGTTTTAGATTTGTCCTCTGCACCAAAAGTAAAAGCTCAGCACAAAGAAAAGATGCCACATCATCTCCCTGGGGAAACCCACTGCAGCATCTTCTGAGCCTTTGAGCTGGGCAAGGCTTTTGTGGAGGCCGACTGCCCGCCCCCCTCCCCCTCCACCACCGCAAAGGTCTTCCCTTTTGTTCCCTCTGGAGGTGGAGAACCAGCTGTAGTCCTCCTTCAGGCCTGCCCCCGCCCCAGCTTACCTCAGAGATGGGGCAGGAGACAGCCCTCCCTCCCTTCCAGCTTTTAGCTTGGGCTCTCAAGGGAGAAGACTTTGGGGGCGGGGGCGAGGCTTCTGTCTCCCCAAGTACAGGGCTGCCCTTCTTTTTCACATTGCCTGTCTGAAAGGGCTCCTGCAGTTGCATCTGCCGGCAGGTTAATTAGCTAATTAGTCTCCTAAGGACCTTCCTTGTTAGCGCAATCGGCCTTTCCCGGGGCCTGTTCATCTTGAAGGCAGGCCTGGTGGTGCAGCCAGGGAGGTAACTGGAAGGCCAGCAGTTGGGATCAGCCAGCTGCTCTGCGGGAGATGAATGGGGCCAGTGGCTTGCTCTCTTAAAGATTTACAGCCTCGGAAACCCACAGGGGCAGTTCTCCTCTGCCCGGTGGCAGGGTCACAAGGCATTGAAATCGACCAGCTTGCAACAGGCTTATTTGGTTATCATTCATCTTGACTGCAGGCCCTCACGGAGAAGTTGCCACCGCATTCAGGAATTTCCATCCCTTAGTGCCACCCTGGGGTCCGGGCTACCTCTGCCTCTGCTTTGCAGCCTTACTCACTCCCCAGGTCCTGGCCTCCTCACGCCCAGCAAACAACCTCAGAGCCATCTATCTAAAGCTTTAGATTCTAAGGGCTGGAAGTAGGAGCTGCAGTGATCCCTGTCTGGACAAACGGGTTCAGGACCATGGACAGCTCAGCTAGTGGGCTGGCCCAGAGATTCCATTCCACCAGAGTGCTGGGGCCCTGACAGGATAGCAGGGGTGAGGGCGGCCTGGGACATTGGCAATGGAAGTGGCTCTAAGCAAGGTATAGTCAAAGGGCTCTTGAAACACAGAAGATAAAGGGACAGGTGAGACTTTAGGGAGACTTCTTAGAGGAGAGGAAAGGAGCCCGGGGTACTCAAGGTCCACAGTTCAACCCCACCAGTTGCTCTGGGGAAAAGATGGAACTGTCTGCCCTGAAAAGACTTAGTCTCAGAAACCCTTCCCAGGGTCAGAACCGATGGGGTGGCAGAGGGTCTCTTAGAAGAAGTGGCATTTGAGCTGAGCCTTGGAAAGCAGCGAGGATTTTAGCAGATCAGTATCTAGTTCAGGGCCAGGCTCTTAGAGAGGCATTGAATGCATGCATGTATTGTCAAACACAAGACAGGATGCATGAACGAGGACTGGCCCGGCTGGCCTCCTGGGGTGGGTGGTGTGTGGAAGACGGGGGTTGCAGTAGTTTGGAGCGTGCTGCCACTCGGTGGCTGGGGGTGTCTGGGTTTGAGGGGAGCCTGCTGGCTGTGCTGACCCTGGTGCTGGTGTTGCAGGAGTGGGCAGATGCCTGCTGCAGGGGCCTCCGGAGCGTTCACGCCTACATACTGGTCTACGACATCTGCTGCTTTGACAGCTTTGAGTACGTCAAGACCATCCGCCAGCAGATCCTGGAGACGAGGTGAGGGCCCATCGCTAGCTCTGTGGACCAGCACTATAGATGTCCTAAGCTGGCTAGCCCCCAGGAAAGGGCGGCAGTGGGAGGACGTGGATGGGTTATAGGTGCTTTTGGTTCGAACACACATGCAGCATTTTGTTAACTCTGGCCACAGAGAGCAAGGCCACTCACCCTATGGCTTTAGGCCAGTTAACATTCAGAGTTCGGCCTTCCCATCTGTTGAATGGGGACACTCGCTGGGTCCATTTGGGAATATAGTATACCTCAGAGGCTTAGCACCCAGCAGGTGGCCCTTGGGTAGGGGGGAGGGGGTGTGTGGGGGCCTCTGAGATCCCCGTCCCACCCATCAGGGTGATCGGCACCTCGGAGACGCCCATCATCATAGTGGGCAACAAGCGGGACCTGCAGCGTGGACGTGTGATCCCGCGCTGGAACGTGTCGCACCTGGTGCGCAAGACGTGGAAGTGCGGCTACGTGGAGTGCTCGGCCAAGTACAACTGGCACATCCTGCTGCTCTTCAGCGAGCTGCTCAAGAGCGTTGGCTGCGCCCGCTGCAAGCACGTGCACGCTGCCCTGCGCTTCCAGGGCGCGCTGCGCCGTAACCGCTGCGCCATCATGTGACGCCCCGCCCTCAGCGAAGGGGCAGGGGGGATGTGATCTCCCCCCCCCATGGGACTGCGGGGCAGGAGCGGGAGAGGGCAGATGAGAACTCTGATGGTCCCTCTGTGCACGGCTGGCCTCGCAGCCGCGTACCTCCCTGTGAGAGGCATAGAGTGAGAGGGAGCCCCCCACTGTCCTCTCCGCTCCCCCATTTGTCTTCCTGGCAGTCAGTGCATTACTCAGCCCTACCCCTAGGGGCGCCGCAACCCCTTGGGACCAGGGTGAGCATGAGAAGCGGAGGGTGGGGGTTGGGAAGGTGCTGCCAGGCCAGGCCCCCACCGTCTCTCCAGAGTGTGTGTCTGCCTCTCCCATGTCGTTCTCTCCCGTGTCTGTCTCTCTGCCTGTCTGCCCGCCCACCCCCACGTCTTGGCCCTTAGCTGTCTTGTCGACCCTCCAGTCCCCCTCTGCCTCCCCAGCTCCGCTCACAGGGCTCTTATTTCGTCCATCCCCCAGTCACGGATCCTGGCAGCTTCATTGGGAGGCCAGGCCATCTGACCTTACCTTCAGCACCACCAGTACAGGACAGAGAGATGCAGGTGGCCCCAGGACCACAATCAACAAGGGGTCGGAGGGTTGAGGTCCCACATCAGTCAGGGGGAGAAGGCTGAGCTCTCCCCCGCCCTGGGAGACCTCCCCACCCAGCAGCCCCCAGAGATACAACAACCTACCTTCCAGCCTTAACTTGATGGTCCGTCCCTGCTGGGTGCCCCCCACCTCCTCCCTGCCCCCAAAGCCAGATCTTCCCCTGGGTTCACGCTTTATTTTCCTGACAGTGTGGAAGGGTAGCCTCTGAAAAAACAGGCTGCTTCTCGTCGTCGGTGCCACGCTCTGGCCCTCCACCCCCTCCTGCTTTGGGTGGTGTGCCAGGGTGAGCTGTGTCAGTGAAGTTTCCGTCTCCTCATCCCATCCCAGCCCAACCTGACTGCCTCAAGTCTCGGGTGACCCTGGCCATCTCCAGGGAAGCAGAGCCGGGGAAAGACTTAGGGAGGCCCTCCTCCCTGTGCTTTGGGGGAGCTATGCCCCCCACCCCATGGACTAGGGCCCTCAGGCCCCCACCCTTTCTGGGATCTGACAGCCCCTCTTGTCCCAACCCCAGTTGGCCCTCTGCCCTGCCTCACTCGCCCCGTTCTCGCCGGCTGCCTGGCCGGGTTTCTACCTCTCGTCACCGGAGCTGATCACTGTCAGTTTTGTACAGATTTAGAAATAATCATAACGATGGCACCACTAGGAAGGGCCTGAGGGAGACGCAGTGCCCTGTCCCCTGCGCCCTGGCCACAGGATGGCCTCAAGGCTGAGCCCTCAGCCCTGGTTTGGGGGGAGGACAGTAGAGTCCCTTGTTGGAGGGGCAAATAGAACTGCTCATGGCCCCGGGAACCAGGTAGCCCAGAGTGGTGATGGAGCAGAATCTGGGGAGGGGGCCATGCGTGGGGGGTGGGGGGGGGTGGATCACTGAGATCAGTGTGGGAAGGAATCACTTCTCTCTCCTGCTCCCCCAGCTGACCCCACCCCCACTCCTAGGAGTCACGCAGCCCTTGAGCTTCCAGGTCCTAGTCCCTGCTGTGCTGCATGGCTGCGGGCAAGCGGCCTGCCCTCTGAGCCTCCTTCTGAAACAGAGGAGATGGCTCCCCTTCCCCACACCTCAGGGTGCTTGGGAGGGTAAAGAAGAAGGCCTGCCCCATTTTACCCCCGTGCCCTGTCTCCTGGTCCGCCTGGGGCCCAAGGGCAGGATGGCAGCTTCTGGCCTGCCCGGTCACCTCCAGCTCGGAGGTACCTGAGGGGGGTGGGGGACCCAGGCCTCTGGCTGCCCCTGTGGATGCCATTGGAATGTATTGCCTGACTGACCCCACGTTCCACCCCCACGCTTCACCCAGGTCTTTGGTTTCAGATCTTGCACCCTCCATCAGAGTCTCTGTCCTCCCCCTCCCCCAGGGTTTCCCACCACAGGGTCTGGAAGTGTGTGTGATGGATGCCCAATGCACTGTTCTTGGGAGTCATTAAAAATCAGGGAGTGTTTTCCCTTGTTTCTGTACTGCAGTCTGGGCTCTGTTCCTGATGGTGGGAGGGAGGGGCATCCCTCCGGGACCTGTGGAAGGAGGGGTGGGATATGGGGGGTCTTGGTCACCAGCAAGTCTGGGGCTCAGGACGTGGCTCCACCCATCCATTAGACCCACAGGAATCGGGCTTAGCTTCTCCCACTGTCTTCTTCCCTGGGGAACCTTTACACCTGGATCTCCCCTTTCTGTCCACAACTAAGCCCCTGAGTCTCCAGGACCTCACTCCCGGGAAGTAAACGTGTTTGGAAGGCTCTCACTCACCCCTTTCCCGGCCGAGCTTGCCTGCGGTGCCCCACTGGTCCCTGTCCAAGTGCTGATGCTGCAGTCCTCTGCAGGAAAGATGGGCTGTCTCTCAGGGTGGGCTAAGTGATCGGAGGAAGCTGCTCCACACCTCCAGCTATCCCGCCCCTTCCCCTCCAGCGTGCTAACCTTGCCAGCACTGCCACACCCTACAGCAGTATTCCCTAAAGTGGACAACCCCTCCCCCCTCCCCCAGCGACCCTGCAGGACTCGTAGAAAGGCCCCTATGCGCTTCCCAGAGTGTAACTCTTTAGAGGCCTCCTCTTTTTCCTGCCGAACAGGAACAACTGCCGAACAGGAACAACTGCCGGTTTCAAACTGCTGACCTTGCAGTTAGAGCCCAGTGGGTAACCACTATGCCACTAGGGCTCCTGAAAGGATGCAGGGGAGGGAGGGTGGGGGGGCAAAAAGCAGATACCTACACTTTATCCTGGATAACTGACCATACTACAAACGTTTTCCATTGCCAGAGGGGAGACACTGTCATTTTTCTTCCTGAAAAGAGGGCGGGCAGAATGTCAAATAAGTTTGAGAACCTATGCCCTAGAGCAGAGGTTCTCAACCTGTGGGTTGCGACCCCTTTGGGGGTCGAACGACCCTTTCACAGGGGTCGCCCGGTTCATACCAGTGGCAAAATGACAGTGATGAAGTAGCAATGAAAACAATGTTATGGTTGGGGGTCCCCACCACATGAGGAGCTGTATGAAAGGGTTGAGGCATGAGGAGGGTTGAGAACCACTGCCCTAGAGTCCAGGACTCAAGAAGACCCACGTGTGTTTAATAAGTGACAGGAGTCCTGGACACTGGGTTGGGTATAGCCAGAGACCCGGAGACTCTGGGGTTTAGGGAGTTGCCGCAGGGGAGGGAGTGGACAAAGGTGGCCGGCCGCTGCATCTAGCCGGAGTAGAGTTAGTTGGAATGGCGGCTGCAGCGGCTGGGGCTGGGGAGCTTCCTTTGCTTGCCTGAGTCTATGTTTGTCTTCTGACTCCTCCTAGCCAAAGCGCCATACAGAGATGAGAAACCTCCCGCCGAGGCTCCGGTGGCTATGCGGGTTCCCCTGCCCTCCACACCCACAGCTCAGGGCTGAGAAAACTCCTCCTTAGACCCAGGTCTCCTCCTCAGGGGCACATGGCGTCTGGTCAAGCTCCTGAGGCCTCGGGCCCTCCGGAGGTGGCAGGCTGCTCTCCCATGCGGTGGCTGGCTCCTTCGTCTCCCGTCTCCCCTTCTCCTCTGCTCCCTCTAACGCCCCATCCACTGGAGGGGCCTCCCCTCCTTTGCTGCCCAGTGCTGCCCTGGACAGCCTGTGCCTGGTGGGCACCCTGATGGGCCCTAGGCGCAGGTAGGCCAGTGGTTTGGGGATGCGAGAAGGCTGCTTCTCGGGCCTGTGGTCCTTCCGGGGCCGGATTCTGGGCCTCAGCTTCAGCTTGTAGATGGATGGGACTCGCTGGGGTTTCCGAAGTGTCCTCTTGGCTTTGCTTGGGCATCCTTGGGCTTGGTCAGTGTTGGGGTCCAAGGGCAAAGGCGTGGGCATCTCTGGGCTGACAGACACAGGAGAAGCTGTGCGGCTCTGCCTCCCTTGAGGTGGTCCCTTCCTCATCCTGGCGGCCTTATCACTGAGGGCTTCATTAGTCCTTGGCCCACCCTCTCTCACGCCGAGCTTCCCTTCCGGGCTTCCAGGCCCCGGAGTAACAGCCTGGTGACGGGGCCCTGTAGGGGATCTGACCCAGGCTCCCAGGTGTACTTTAAAAAGGGGTGGGGGGCCCTGAGCCAGCTCTCGAATGACTTTCTCATAAGGACCACCAGGCTCTGGCCAGCGCCCACCCAGGCTGGGGACGTAGACTCCACTGCGAGGGATGGCCCTGGACCCTGCTCCCTGACGACCGGTAGCCACTGTCTCTAACAGCTTCATGCCGGCCAGAATCTCCTCTTCAAGGCTATGGTAGGCAGCTTGCTCTGTGGTCCTGTCAAGGGGCAGACGTATGCACCCTGCATCCTGCTCCTGGGGACCCAGTCCCCGGGGCTGTCTGGCCTCTGCTATTTCCTGGATGTCCAGCTTCTGGCCCCCCTGCCCCCTCTTTGCAGAGCAGTTTCCCTGTCTAGACTCAGTCACATGTCTGTCTCCAACCACAGCCCTTAGTAGGCTGGAAACTCTTTCCACCTCCGTCCTGGGAGCTTCAGTCCCTGAGAAGCTGCTTCCTGGAGTCGGGGGCCGGGCTGGAGGCAGCTGGTTGGGGATCTTGGTGGCTCCTTTAACAGGGGATGGAGAAAGGAAGGTTCCTGGCTCCCAGAGCTGGAGGGAAGCATCCTCCCTCCCTCCCCGAGGCAGCTGCTCGATGCCCAGGGTCTTGGCTGGACTAGAGGAACACGGCAGAGGAGATGGTCCTCTCGCTGGTGTCCCCTTGGTGGTCACATCGGGGACTTGGAGTCTCTGGGGGGTTGGGGCCCTGCCACGAGCCCCCAAGCTGTTGCTCTCCTCCTGGACCCAAGAGGCAGGAGTCCTTCCCCTGAGGAGCTCAGAGGGCTGTCTGTCTTCCCTCTTCCCTTCAGACATGCATTGTGGGGCTTGGCCCCTCTGGGCGGAGGAGGATCGGGGCCTGCATGAGCTGTCCTCCGCTGGCAGCCGCCTCCGAGAGGGGGTGAGCGACCTCTCCTGGCACCTGAAAGCGAGAATCATAGACCAACAGGGTTGCCTAGTCCACTCGCCTGCCTCTGAGAAGGGATGGTCTTCCCGGCTAGAACACCAAAGGGGCCACCCAAGACTTGACCTCTCTTGGGGACTCACCGTGCCATCCTGCTCTGGGTCCCAGCCTCCCCGTCTATGGACTGGGGTGGGGTGGGGGAGTGTCTGGAGTCCCTAGGTGATCCCAAGGGGGTTGGGACCTTTTTGGTGTCAACACCAGAGGTCTTGCTGCAGTGGGGGTATAAGGTCCTGCTGTGAGCCCTGCTCCCCTTTATTGTGTGGGGAGTGGCCTGTGAGAATGTGGGCTCTGAAGGAGAAAGTAGCCCTGCCTTGTCCCTCTCTGTACCTCAGGGGTGGTGCCATCTCCCTGAGGACCCCCAGCCCTGCTCCCTGTTCATTGTGGGGCTTCAGGGAGGAAGAAGTAGGGGGCCTCGACTTTCGGCCTGAAGAGGTATATGTCTTCCAGTCCACTGGGGGCAGTGGGCTCTGGGAGCGGCTGATGGTCATCATGGGCTGGGGCTGCGAGGGCCCGTCCTGCACCTTCACCTTCACGTCATGCTGCACCGGTGGGGCTGGGGCCTTCAGGAAGCTGCCGGGCTTGTGCGCTGCCAACACAGCCCCCAGAGAAAGGAGAGGAGGGAGGATGAAATAGCCTGCTGATATGACCCCCTCCCCGCACCCCCACCACATGAAAGACAGTGGGGCTTACAGTAGGTACACCAGAATTCCCCAAAGGATGGGCTTAACCAAAACCAAAGTCACTGCCATGAAGTCAGTTCTAACTCACAGCAACCCTGTGGGTTTCCAAGACCGAATATCTTTATAGGATCAGATAGCCTCTTCTTGCTCCTATAGAGTAGCTGCTGGCCTCAAACTGCTGGTCTTGTGGTTAGCACCTTGTGGGAGAAGGACGAGGCTGGTTCTCCTGTCAACCTACAGGGGCAGCTCTGCTCTGCCCTCCCGGGTCGCGAAGAGTCACAAAGCTACTCCAAAGCAGAAAATTTGGCTTATTGGTTTTTTCTAGGGGACATCGTTTGGGCCAAGGACTTGCTTTGAAGCTGAGTCTGTGTTGTGGATCTCCGTTTAGATGGCAAGCTTCCTTGTAGTGGCAAGAGTGCTGGTGGAGATGACACAAGAACTGAGGACCCTTCCAAGTTTGCTAGGTGCTACCCTCGGAAGACTTCCGACACAGAGGCCACAGAATGCGTGTGTTTGGTGCCACCTTGTGTCTGTAATCGGCACTGCTGCCTGCAGCACCGGGGCTCCGGAGAAAGGAGTCCCGGTCATGTAGTGGTTACGTGTTGAGTTGCAAGCTTCATGGTCCACAGTTCGAAACCACCAGCAGCCCCACGGGAGAAAGATTGGGCTTTCTATTCCGGTAAACACTTACAGCCTGGGAAACCCCCAGGGAGTTGCTATGAGTCAGCCATGACTCACTCCACCTTCCTGTCTTCATTTCCCCCCTTTTCACCGGTCTGGAAGACTATGGTTAAAGGCCACCACTGCCCTACCCCAAAGTGGCTTTCTCCTTGTTCCTGCTTCCAGCCTCCCACCCCCGTCACCCATTCCAACCATGGAGACTCACAGAGGGAGGTGCACCGGCAGGGGTCATGTTTGTCCAGGTAGTGGCCGAGCGTGTCCCAGCCACCACCCACACGCACCATCACATGGTTCCGGAGGATCTAGAGGAAGCCAGGATGAGGCTAAGGACAGGCGCCCACCCCAGCTGAGAGGGACTCTCTCCCTTTGACATGCCCAGTGCACCCTTGTACCCCAGGCGGGGCCTGGAAGGCCCATGTTTTGCAGCCTCTGTTCCTCTGTATCTGCCTTGGGTAATACCTGTTGTCAGGGATAACGGAGAGGCTGGCAAACAGGAAGTTGCCCTAGGCTGTGCAAGGGATCAAGGTGTCACCGGATCCCAGAGTGTCGCCTCTCTCTTGTAAAGGGGTGTGCACCCAGGCAAGCCATATCAGCAATGGAGCCTAATTCCTCTCGCTTTGCCACTGTGACGTGGGTGAAAGAGCGCAGCATGTCCCAGCCACTGCCCTCTGGGGGATCACCTAGTCACTCCAGGTGTGGTGAGACCCTGATTCCCTGCCCTCACCTGCTTGGGTGAGGAACCAGGAAGCTGGCTCTGCCCCAGGTGTGGTCTGTGTCCACACCCCTGCGTACAGACCAGCCCCCTGTGGGTCTTGGGTGAGGTAGTAGGGAACACATTGCAAACCAGTACTCTGCCTTCTCAGGATGTACTAAGCCAGGCACTGTAGGGCAGACTATGGGGTTTGTATGGCTGGGGCCGTGTGCTGAACACAAACCTGGGGTTCTGAGCAAGCCTGTGGGGAGGGTGAAAGGGATGGGGAAGTGAAAGTGCCCACTTTCATACCCCTCTTCTGCAGGAAGACCCCTCTGTTAGGCCAAGGGAGACTGTGCTTCTCTGCAAGATGGGGTAGGCTTATCTCCTGGAATTTCTCCTCAAAAAGGGAGGCCCAGGACTTGATAACTTGGGGTGAATGGTGACATCCTGCCCTTGTCTCCAAGTTTGGGCAAGGCCCTGGGAGAGTAAACCCTATTCTGTAGACGTGTGGACGCCACCACCTGAGCCTGGGACTTACCCGGATGAAGATGAGGGTGTTAGAGTCTCCCACACGGTACTTCCCCTCAGACACCTTGACCATGGAGAATTGAACTGGGCATGTGCAGTGGCTGACGAGATTCTGCACCTGGGAACAGGGAGGTGGCAGTGGGTTCAGCCTCCCCTCTGCCCAGACTCCTGACTCCTTCCACCATGGAGGGCTGCCCCCCACTTCCTCTGAGGCTTCACTGAGGTCAAGGCTAGAGATGGACCTCACCCTCAGAATGAGGCAGTGGGGGGAGTGGCTAGGAGACAAGGTGGAGGTGATCTGACAGGCTTGGTCCTGCCTCCCCTGCAGGCTATACCTTGGGCAGCAGAAGAACCCTCCCTGCGCCCCGTCTTTCTCAGAGGTGAAGATGGTTTGCAGCTTGCCTCTGGGCCACCCAGGTGTAAACTCTGGGTTTAACACCCACAGCAGCCCCTGACGGCTGGTGCTGGATCATTTCCACTCTACGAATGACGGGCAGGGTCCCAGAGAGGTGAAATCATCTGCCCAGAGCCACACAGCTGCCAATTAGCGGAGCCAAGCCCAGCACCCAAGCCATGCACCAGGCTCCGGTGAGGGTTATAGGAGAAGTGTGCCCGTGCGGGGCTTGCAATAAACACGTCGTAAGCAGCCCTGGTGGGGTCGTGGTTACCCGTTGGGCTGCCGGAATCGCAAGGCCAGCGATTTGAAACCACCAGCCAGGGCGGGCCTGGGAAACTCACAGGCGTGGTGCTCCCTGCCGTGAAGGGTCATCATGGGCTAAGCTTTGCGTTGCTGGGTTAAGGCGGCAAAGCCACCTCTACGTGGCATTGGGGTTGAGGCCCAGAGTGGAAACAGGGCTTACTCAAAGCCACCCATCGGGAATTCGTGGCTGGGCACGAAGGGGGTGCTCCCAGGGGCTGGGGTCCTGCCGGGCCTGGGGCGTGTCCTCTCACCATCTGGTCCAGGTTGCGGAAGTGGCAGGCTCGACGCACGGGCG